AAAGAAATCATCTTTTACCTTGCAGCATCATGGTTTTTCTGTGGCTGGGTCAATTGCCTTTCAATTCACTTTAGGCTAAATAATTTATTTACCAGTAGAAATGTGTCTTATCCCATTTATGCATTGATCTGTGAAGCCCTCATATATCTTAAACACGTATAAAAACCTGTATAAAAAAATCATGCAGCATTTTACTGTTAGTGGGATTAAAAAAAAAACCAACAAAACCCAAACAGCAACATATGGTAATATTTTTACATTAATTACATTAATTCTTTAAAATAGCTTATAGAAACCTACTAAGTTGGACAGGGTTATAGATTTTTCTCTACAAAGATAGCAGTGTGACAGAATATTTTGTTGAAAAATTGCAGTACAAGTACTAAGAGAGTAGTGCAGCTTCTGTCTCCCTGTCTGTGATAGTCAAATAAGAGGTGTTGTTTTCACTTATCAAATACATCCTTCTAATACTGAGATTAGTAGTGAATTTACAAATACTGTGTAGCATCATGTATAATACTATGAATTTTGAAACAAATCAGATGGCAGCGTGATCCCATCACGCATCACAGGTGTAAACTGGCAGCAGCATTCAGAGGTTCACTTTCTTCTCAAGGGAAAGTTTTTTAATCTGTCTTGAGCTTTAACTAGTAGTACTATCCTGGATTTACAGTTTACTCTTATCATTCCTGTGTTGCTTATATGTCTAGGGCTGAACTTTTGTCTTTTACTCTTTGGGAATCTATTTATTATACCAATTATTCTGTTACTGGTTCCCTGGCTACTTGCTTTTGTGCTTTTCTTAATCCGTTTCTTATTTCTTAACCTGTCTCACTGTTAGTGACTGTAACACTCTGAACAGTAGTAGTTCTCTTCAATGTTTTTTAATTCTCTCATTTTTTTGTTTGTTTATGGAAGCCTAAAGTAATTCTCCACATCTCTCTGAACTCACCTAATTACATGCTTCTAAATTAAGTTTCTGATACTATTTAATCTTTGTTCCTCCATTGCTTGTTTCTAGTTTACCAGCATCATTCTTGTTCAGCTGCACTGAGGCATGATGCATTTTAACTGTACTATGATGGTGATAACCGAGTCATCATCTGTCATTTGCAAAACACAGTTAAAATAATGAATAAATAATACAAAGCTTTCTACCTGGAAGCATGTGGGGTCACTAAGCAAATTCGTGTTGTCATGAAAGCAGCACATATAGAAGAATTTTTACGTCCTACACTGAGAAGAAATCAGAATAGCAGTGCAGACCTAATTCTTTCCAGAATGTGTGTGCATAGCTGTATTTAACTTATTTAAAAATAGCATAATGACTAAGGACCCTTTGTTGAGACTTAATAGACCTTTTATTTCTTTATACTCTGCTGTAAAAAACCCCACAAATTAAAATGGGGTACTTTGGGTACTTTTTCAGTCTGTGGGTTGACACAGGAAGGCATTTTTAAGTCAAAAATATAACGTATTCCTAGATGACAGATGAGATGCTATCATGTCTTGAATCCAGCTGTACACATGTAATTGCAGTAATAGTTAATTGTAAAAGAATTACTTCTCAACTGAAAATCTGAACCAATATTTTTCTTCTACTTCCAGTGGCCTGAATTATTAATTGTGGTTTCCAAACACGGAAAATTTAATGACTTTTCTCTGTACTATTCCTACGGCACATTAAAGGTCAACAAGTTTCACATTCAGAATTAAGCAGAGATGACTCTAACTTTATACATGACATTACTAAACCATACAAAATCAAGCAGTATTTTTTAAACAAGTTTGAAAGAGTTTGTTAGATAAAAGTATTTTTTTCAGTTGACTTGACAATCACTTATGTTAGTGGAGTTTATTTGACTGAGACTCTTTGTCAAAATACTTTTAAAGTGAGATTTTTAAATTATAGTTCTAATTGCATAGTATGAGTTTAAATATTGCTAATATTTTAGCTAGGTAATGCATTCCATAGAATGCTTTCTACTTTCATGTTTTATTGACCATATCTATTCTTTAACCAGAATGGGTAAAGCATTTTTGCGTAAAGTGAAAAAACAACACGTCTGTTATTAAAAATGGAATTCCTTTCTATATATAGATAGGATACACTACTTGTTAAAGTACAGATCTGCCTTTTTTTGTTACTTGTGTTTTTTCAGTCTGTTGCAAAGTTATCCTGTAATCCCAAACTCCCTTGTCTTCCTCCCACATGCACCTGATGTTGCTTTACTCTTACATGAGGTTGAATGAGCGCAGCTGTGGGAGAGAGGAGTTTACAGACAGAGAGGGCAATGTGCTGAGTGCTAGCATAATGATTTCTACAGGAAGGCCACAGAACAACACAGACACAGTTTTTGTAATACCTTTGTATTAGTGAAAGGATGTAGTTGTCTTTTTCATGTAGACAGTGCAGCAAGGCAGGGTAGAAAATACCATGACCACCACTGTATTATATTCTTGGTTGTTAATAAAGAAGTAGTATATAATAAATATAAAATAAAGTATGCATGCTTACATTATTTCCTCTCTTGTTGAATAGGAAGATAGCAATGACTGTGCAGATTCTTTCTTTTACCACACACATAATGTGTTGTGAGGAAAAAAAATCAGAAATTGGTTCTACTGCACATTGACTTTTATGTGGCCTTGTAGTTGATACTAGGTCAGATAAAAATTTGTAGTCATTATCATGGTACAGAAGACAGTAATACTACTTATCGAGGAAAATGTCTGAGAATGGCTAAGGTTCTGTTGCTACTTCAGCACACTCCCCAGATACTGTCTTGCTATTTAGTTAGTTGATGTTAACACACAACCTGTGCTTGTGTTTTGAAGAAGATATTCATTCAGATAGTCAAAGGCTTCAATACTGGTCTTTACTATTTTCTGGTGGTTTTTTTTTTTGTTTTTTTTTTTGTTTTTTTTTAATATGTAGTTAATTTGAAGGTGGAAGAGAATTGAGGAATGAACTCCATTGGTTGAGCACAGATACTTCAAACTATATTTCAGTGTCAAAGCAAGATAGAAGTGTCAGAAAAGTACAGCGGCTAAAATATCGGAAGATGATTGGAATTAGATTTGTAGTGCTTGATGTTGCTGATATACACAGACATTACAACAGTTTTTACCACTTCTTACTTTAAAATACAGTATTTTCCTCAACATTCATGTGCTAATAGACTATGCAAAATGTTGCTGGGGTAGCAGATTGGAAGAAAAGGGTACACTGATGCAATGGTGGCGGGTGTCATTGGTTCTGGAACAGCGAAGATCATGGTTCAGCTCAGCACACACTTTTCGGGGTGATTTTACCGAATATTTTGTGACAAAGTCTGGCTTCAAGAATTGGTCTTTGGAGTGAATGAGAAATAACAGTAATCAGAAATTAAGGGGGTTTTAATTTTTCATATAAATAAATTATTTAACATATAATTGTGTTAATTTCCCTTTTATAGATGAGAGACATCAATTCTATATAAATTTTATCAAGATTCTTTGTACCTTTATGTTGTAAATTTTTTATTTCAAATCCTAGTGTGTACATGACACTGGTAAATGAGTACTTTTGCCCTAAGGAAGTATGTAACTCAAAGAGCTGTAAGCAAAATTTAATTCTTATGCAGTCAGCAGAGAAAAGTCTCATTAGATTTTCTGTGTCTTCTTCTATAGTTCCTGTAGATGTAAATATCTCTGGAGACAGAGACATGTCGAATTCTGCATGTGAGGCATGCAAGGAGAATGTAAGGCAAGTGCAGAGGCACTTTTCCCATTCAGGCAGTTCGGGAAAAGACAGAGGCTAAGATGAAAGTCAGACAGATTTGTTTACCTCAGTGATACTGTTTACAGCTAGCAACATTATCCAATTAATGCAGAAGCAACTGTTCCAGTGCTCCAAACTGTGGGGTGTACACATCAGTGTAAGAGACTGAGCACTCCTATAAGCCAGATAAAGCCCTACATAATATTTCAATTAATTTCACTGGTAAGCACAAGGTAAAATAGCTTGCAAAATTATGTAGAATTTGATCTAGTTACGAAGAAGTTTTGGGATGGAGTGTGAAAGAAAAGTGAGCTGGTGTTTTCAGATGGTGGGAGGCAGGCGTTTTTGCCATTTGGCACTGTGGTGTGGTGAAATATGGAGAAGCATGATGTAATCTAGTTTTTCTACAGAAAGAGCAAACTTATTCTGTCTTTGCAGTCTGTGAGTGATTTGGCTACTATTTGACTGAAAAAATCAACACAAGGTATAGAGCTTTATTAACCCTGAAGTTTTGCTTTTCTGCAGGGCAGACTGTGCTACAAAATTCCAGCACTACTCTAAGCCCAGTGCTCTGGAGAGTAGTCTCATACTCATTTGCAAATCTTCAAATACAGCTGAGAGTATTTAATTTCTTTCTTCTAATGCCAGTCAAGCATGTATCCACTTAGGTAGTTTTAAAAATTGTAATTTCATTTAAGTCTATCTTCTCCCTCTCTGCTAATTGTGAGTAAGAATGACAGCAAGACTTCAGTTAAAATAGCAGCTTCAAGCAAACATTTAGTAGAATTTTTCATTCCAGTGCATTGTGAGAATTCACTGGGATGCATGTGGATCACTAGAACAACTACCAAAATATTAACTAACCTCAAGAAGTAAATTTTCAGTATTTTTTGTTGCCTGTTAGCAAGAGAAGTAGTCTTAATTAAAATTCTGTTAGTTGTGCAGTTCTGAATATTCAAAAAGTTGTCCACTGTATGTATTGAACTGATAAGAATGTAATATTTCCCATCAAATAGAAGCAGCTTCACTTTCGTCTTTCACTGAAGAATTGTCCTCTACACATGGTTCCACGTACTTCTGTGAAGGATATCATGGAAAAATTCAGAAAATATTTTCTACACATAATAAATATGCGTTTTTTGTAGCCTCTTGCAAGAGTTTTAGCTTACAAACATTCTGAAAAATAACCTGTTATTTTATTGTGCTCTGATTTATTTTTGATAACTTCAAAATTCAGCATGGGGATAAACCACGACAACGACCACCCATCCTGTGCAGATGGCGTCCATATCATGTCTGGGGAGTGGATTAAAGGACAGAATCTTGGGGATGTTTCATGGTCTCAGTGCAGCAGGGAAGATCTGGAAAGATTTCTCAGGTATATAATTCAATGAAAGGAACTCTTATTGTATGTCATTTACAAATAGTTGCAATAAATATCCTGAAATCATGAGTTTTCAATATTTTTTACTTCTGTGGGAGATTTGTGATTGCATAATCCATCAAAATATTTAAAATCACTGTAATGCAATATTTGACAGATTTATTAAAATCAGTTTGCAGCAATTATATTTATTTTTATATTTTTGTGTGTTAATGCACATGATTATACTTTTATGTACTTATATACACATTTTATATATGTAAATAAGTTTACAGTATATTAATAGGTTGTGTATTGAAGTGTTGGGCAGTAAAAGACATAAGAACACTTTGCAGATTCTCTGATCTACGTTGTGCCATTCAATATAAAACCTTGCAGTATAATTGCATTTTGTTCATTTTTAAATAGAAATTCACTAAAAGGTACTTAACAGAGAATAGTATACCCAGAAGACAAAGCATTTAGTTTTGCTCTGAGTTTCTGAAATTGTATCTGTTCCCTAGAGTTCTGTTCCTTTATAAAGTTTTGGATATATCTTTTGAGAATTTACTTGCAGCAGTTAAGAAAGTCTGCTCTAGGATAATAGAATAGTTAGTGTAACTTAAATACATTTTGATGCATTTGTGCTGAATCTAGACAGAAATCAGAATCATGACTTGGTGCTTTAACAAGTTTCATTTTCAAATATTTTTTTTTCTTCAATTTTTGAGAAAAGCTAAATTTTTGGCTGCCAGCTCAGAAACATATGTATTTTTAAATGAGCATATAAATATATATATATATAATCCAAAGTGATTAATTATATTGTCTTTCTGCAAATGTACATCAACAGCATATACCAGTAACTTAGAACAAGTAAGCCATGTTAATTTATTTATATGTGAACAACAGCCCAATGCTGATGAATAAAAAGCTCTTAGGAGCCCACATATTTCTAACGTTGTACACTAGTTGAAGTCAGTGTGACAATCAGATTCTTTAGGATTGCTCAGTGTATGAATCTCTGCATATTACCAGGTCAAAGGCCAGTAATTGTCTGGTACAGACGAATCCTCAGAGCCTCAATTCTGTGATTATTCCCTCCAAGCTCCCAGGAATGACGTACACTGCAGATGAACAGTGTCAGATTCTTTTTGGACCAACTGCTTCCTTTTGCCAAGAAATGCAGGTAAGACTGTGTGTGTACTGCGGGAAGTACACCTACCACCTGATTTTTTGTGTGAGGGATACTTTTGTACGTGTGTTTGATAGAAATAGAGCATAGCACCTTTGAAGATAGAAGTTTACGCTTGCTTTCCAAAGTTAATATGCACATTTTCATTGATTTATCATATAAGGCTTGCTTTGGGTCTCCAAATATCTTTATCCTATCATATCATACCTTGTTTGTACTTTAGAAATAGAAGATGTTATAGTGTTAAGACACCTTGTTGCAGCAAGTGGAATATTTGCAATTTATTCCGCTGGGACCAGATTTTGTGTATAGGTTCCATTTTATTATGTTTTGGGTCTTTGAACCTCCATCTCTGACCTTCAGAAGAACAGTGGGCTTTCTGCAATACTGGATGTACCCTACCTCCAAGCAGTCTCCTGTGAGCCCAGGCAACTGTGCAGTGCCATGACAGTAGTAGTTCCAAAAATTGGGTTTCCTGACATTGCTTCATGCCATTGTGTAAAGCAGTGCCACTATATAGTATTTTTAAAAAGACCGATTAGCAAAACTGAAGAGGTCTTCATAATGAAACAGAAATTAATATTTATTAATAAACATTGAACATCTGATTGAAGACGCAGTTTAAGAATGGTTTTAACAGAGAAAAATCAACCTTCTTTAAATCAACAGGACAGACTAAACATGTTGGATGCCCTTGAGATGATAACTAAGACAAGATGGAGAGATTGTATTAATGTATATGTATAAATGTATAAGGAACATGGAGTATGGGTTGATAGAGCAGGGACTAGGAGGAACTGTGAAATGAAGTTTCATCAGAATCAGGGGGCTGATAGCCTGGAAAGGTTAGGAGTATTTAGTATGAAAGCATAATTCCTTTCTCCTTTAGTTCTTTAGTTCTCTTCATCTTTTCAGCTTGGACATTTCTTTTAAGACTTTCACTGAGTCTAATTTTTATCTAAAAGGTCTTGAAGGAAACATTGCAATACATGTATGACTAACTCATACTGAGAGTGGTATAGCTGAGAAGAAAAAAAATGACACATAGGTTACTGGATTTTATTTTAGCTGTCTTATTTTTTGTGGAAACATTTTCACTCCAGACATGAGAAGCAGAACTCAATGTCAGTTAATTTAGTGAATATTAACCAGCTGGTGTTCAGCTATTTCAGAGGCTCTTGGTGCTGGTAGCTAATTGTCCATTTCTAGTCAGCTTCCATCATGTTCCCCTCTTCTGGCATTTTGTATGTAAGAGGACACCTTTCAGCTTAATCACTTATTTTCATGTAAATTCTACTTTTTCCTACTAACTGGATAATTACTTTTTATTTATCTTGAATATTTATATTCAAATGGGCAGTTTATGAAAATTCATATTAAATATTAATAATAACATAGCATTGTAACCTAAATCCAATGGTAATGTGGATTTGCTGTGAAGAAAGAACATAGTAATGATGCAAGACAATACAAAAGGTCTTTTCCACTATTCTTTTTCCTGACAAACTGCAAGGTAGTTTTAGTTCTCTTCATGAAACCAAGTGTGTTGTTTGATAGCCTTATGATCTTAACAGTTAGAGAAAGAGAGCCCAGTAACAGTTTCTGCAAAGGGAACAAGGGGAAGAACCTTCTGCATTTTTTTCAAAATCCTCTGCAAAACTGGCAACCATATAATCAAATACTGAAGCAAAAAAAATTGTTTTAATGGTCTTTTAAGAACTTTGGATCTACTAGAAATGACATACAAGTGAATAAACATTGACACTAAGGACAGATTTGAGAAAACATTGAGAGGGCACTGAGTTAGAAGTTTTCCAAAGCTTCCCTGCCAACTTCTGTAAAGTCATTTTGTTGGTTTTCTTCTACTTTCTTTTCTGTGGAAGCTAGATTTTCACTCTCACCTTCCTCCCAACAAAAAAAATCCAAGAGACTTGATCCTGGGTTTGTAGACCTGAAGAGCTACTTACAGCAAGCTTAGACACTATATTCGTATCTTCTTTTTGTGCTCCTTGCTGTGGTTCTTAAATTTATCTTTTCCATTAGGGAAGCTTACTGTATACTAGTCAAATTAACTGCCTGTGAAGTGCTGTTACTCAGTAGCTAATTTTATCATCTCCTTCAGAAATGCAAGGATTTTAGATGCAAATAATGAAAATGTTGAATTTAACCTTCAAAATAATTGCATTTTACTTACTGTGAGGGTGATTCAAAGTTCTCTCTGTTAATTGTGCAGATTATTGTGGCTACCATTGGAGAAGTCAACATTTAGAAGACCTTCCTAAATTGAATACAGTATTTCATTAGTTAATGTATTAATTTACTGAAATAATTATTTAATTATACATAGATGACCACTGAATATTCTGTGATATCCAGACTATTTCCTCTAGTCTCTGTATATTCTCTCCTGCTCAGCCAGTAACTGGCAGTTTTTTTATGGTTGTACATCTTGTCCACAAGCCAGGAAATGAGAGAAACATACTCCTTGAAGGTTCATTTAAACATCAGTAAATCCAACAATTTATAGCCCAGGATTTCTTGGACACATTTTACTTACTGAACAGTTCATGCACTTCAGTATAACTGTGTAAAAGATAAATTATGAACTGTGTCACGGTCTTACATTTTTTGTGACTGGGACATAACCTGATGAGCAGAGTTCCATGCAATCTTCTACATTAAGCAACTATTTTTAACACATAATATCCATTCAACTAAGAAATCAACTGAGTAATGATGGAACATAATGATGTCACAATCAATAATGCATTTCCACTGAGATAAAATTCTTACAAGTGCTGTTACTGAGCAGCACTTAAGGATAATTGTCATGTTATGTGGCAACCTCTGAGAAACACTGCAGGTGTAAATGATTTTCCCTTGCTATCAAGAATTCCTCTTTATAATGCACTGACTGAATCAAAGGACTGAAGGAACCATTGAGGTTGTACTCCCACATCTTCCTAGGTGAGCCCCTCCCATCCTCTTTCGTGAATGGTATCCAGACTTTATTTTTAACTTTTCATCTTTATTTCAAGGACTTTTTTTTTTTTTCGTATTCCAAGCAAAATTTATGGAATCTGAGAAAAGTGTGAGTGGATCTCCAGGTTCAAGATTTATACCGTGTCTCTGTGCTTATCTTGTAAGGGAGCCAAGTTTGCTTTTATGCCCATGATGTCTCACACAAGAGTCAATTAGTTCCTAACATTGTTTCACATAACAGATAGTGAGATCATGGCCCAGAAGTATTTCTTGATGTTTAAATGGGATTGTAGAACTTGACAATTTAATATAATTGTTGAACTATTGAATGTTGGCTTTTAAGATTAAAGTCCAGGATGCGAATGCTATCTAGTCAGTTCCACTAAAACAATTCTTGTCATAACACAGCTGTGATCTTTGCAAAGAAGTAGGAGACTGGTTATATTTCCTGGTGATTTTTAAGGCATTTCAGGGAATGATCACAATGAAAAGAACAAAAGTCATGGAAATATTATAGCTGTGGTGAAATATCTGACCTCATCTCTACCACCACATTTTAAACAATTTTGACTTTGCACAAATACTGTTCTAAAATGCCCTTTTTGTCTCTGGTCTGTCCTTTCAACTGGATCTTATTTCCATTTGCTTATATGATTGGAAATGCACCCTGCTGATGTTCACAGACCTGCCTCACTATTTTCATTCAAAAAAACCCCAAACGAAACAAACCCCAAAAGCTGTAGTGACCTCTGCTATTTCTCTAGTACACTGTGACTTTCATGTTGTATTTTACAAGATTTTGCTGTTAAAAACTCATGATTTACACATTCATTCAGAAAAAAAAAGTCCTTTTTGTGTGCTTGGCAATATTTTGTTTTCCAGTGTACACACAGAGAAATAAGTTACAGGTTGTGAATAGACTAATATCATGAGTATAAGTTTTTAATCTCCACTAACAGAACTTCCTTTGGCTAGTATAAAAAGCAGTAGTGGCTTTTTAACTGTGCTTATCATAGATAACAAGTAAACCTTTGTGAATATTAGCTTAGCTACCCTGATTTTGACTGAATGAGATTTCCAGAAGAGAAAATTTCTGGTTTAGAAATCAGTGCTCTGATTATGGAGTGACTGCATTATTGACACTGGCCTCCAGATTTCTGTTTGTTTTCAAATCGGTCCTGACCTACATCATTGCAGGTTGCTGATGAAAATAGAACAAACATTTAGAAGAATTGTTTCTGGATTTGTAAGGAAGCATGGGTTTGTTGTAAGCCATTCTGCAACCATGTGTGAGTGAAATTAAGCATAAGATCATAGTGTTTAGAAAAAAAAAAAAAGAGATAACATACTTAAAAATGTGATGACATGAAGGAAAATTTGAGTTTATTTTTTAAAAAATTAGAAAAGTTTGGATGGCTTTTCCTCCATTGTAGTAATTGGTAAATGAAGATTTTAAGATAAGAAAAAAATATTGATTAGGAATATTAAACTAACATGTATTTTTATTGAGTTGTTCCAACAGCATGTCTCTCATTTCATAATTGGTATGGAAGCACTTTGTCATGAATATTGGTACTCTGTGTCATCTACAATTATGTTCATCTACATTGTTTGAAAAACAGTGAAAAAGAACAGAAATTACATTTTGATATTTGAAAAATGCTTATTAAAATTGTCCAGGAACAGGATAGGACTTCTGTAGCTGGATTTTTAGGACATGGATGAACTGCAAGGGAAATTTGGAGAAATAGGAACCAGCCTTCCACAAGGCTGTGCTTTCTCTTAAATAAAGTAAAAATTGCTTTGTTCTGGTGCTTCGGAGGGGCAGAATAAGCAGCTTTTCCTTCCCACTCTAAAATTCAGTACACACTAGCCCTCCTGGGGGAATTAGGAATCACTGGAATAGCACAAGATAGCAGTCACTGGGATGTCATGAACAGCAGGGATCTGGAAGACCTAGAGAAGCATGATTAGTAGAAATCTGAGCAGATTCTGCCCACTTTGTTTTTTTTACATGTTTAACCTGTCTTTAAACATAATTTAGTGCCATCACACTGGTAACTTTGTGACTGCACTAGTGGGCTGTATGGATAAGGTAGAATTTACTCTTACTTCTCTGTTTGCTTTTCAGCATGTCATTTGCACTGGGTTGTGGTGTAAGGTGGAAAGTGAGAAGGAATGCAAAACTAAGCTGGATCCACCAATGGATGGAACAGACTGTGACACTGGAAAGGTATGCTTCTGATGTAAAAGCAATATCAATTACACTGAACATGTAACAGTTAAGGAAAAAAAGCTGAATTGGTCTTTGCACTTGTTTTCAGTTCCTGCTTGCTTCAATTATCATTAAAATAAGCTATGTATAGTTGACTGTGCATGTTATACATTATATAATATACATATGAAAAAGAACATTTTCCTAAAAAAGTTAGGCAAAACTGCAGGTGTTTTAATGTTTACACTGTTTTATTTCAATTTCTTTCTCATTTTGTATCCTATCTGTGAATGGAGTGTCATTGTTGCACTTCTAACTGTAAATAGCAACATAAACTTTCAAAGATACAGAGTTCAACTACGATTTGAGGTTTAGAAATAGTCTCATTGAAGTAATTGATACAGATTTGTATGAAGAACTTTCAGGATAAGTTTTATGGAGAAAGATTTTATGTCTTTCAATTGAAATTGTCACTGAATAATCAGGGATAATGCAGTCCCTGGTGGGAACTATAATGCTGAAACAAATAAATCCTGACAACAGCCCTGGACACTGTGCTGTGATGTGTACAGTTCAGCTGGATGATCCCTGCAATAGGTTTGAATTGGACCCAAAAATGCTCTCCTAGGCAATGCCCAGTCTGGAACTAATGGGACAGCAAAGTCTGGGGACCATTTCTAGGAGGCATCCTTTATTGGGAATTAACTTGTGTTCAAGCTTGTGGACAGGAATTGCCCCTGCTCCTTGGCCACTGAACCAGAGAAAGGTCCCTGGCTTTTCCATTTACTAGGACAGAATGAAAAAAAAAAAAATTGTTTGGGGAACAACAGGCAAAAATCTATCTGCCTCATATGAAAAAAAAAACCTACCTATTGAACCAAATGTTTATGTTTTGCTTCCCATGTTCTGTGGACCAGTGAATTGTTTTGCATATGCCTTGACTTATTTACCTAAGAGCTGAATTTTCACCTAGTGGTGTAAGGCTGGAGAGTGCATCAATCGGACCTCCTTTGCGGAGCGGGCGGAGGGGGAGTGGAGCGCGTGGAGCACCTGCAGCCGCACCTGCAACACTGGAATCAGCAGTCGACAGCGCAAATGCCCTGGGTAAAAACAAGCTCAGGTTCCCCTTGCTGTTCATCAGAATTTCTGAGCTAGGTTTTGCTTGAGTACAGAAACCCAATAAGCAATTCATCTTTCACAAGTGCTGAGAAGCACTTAGGAGAATAGGTATTTCAGGGTTTGTTTGTTTTTTTATTGCATGGCAACACTCTCTTCATCTTTTCTACTTTTGCCAGAAGCTAAGATAATATTAATAGGAGTATAAATTCTCTTTTTAAGCTTCACCTGAAGAACAACAGAAACTTAAATTCATACTTTCTGACTTTCAGGGTCAGTGTGTAATTCTATTTCTTTCAGTTTTTTTACTGGAGAAAACTGACTTCTGTCTCATCTGGAGAGACAAGGAATTACAACTGTTATAAAGAGATCTTTCTACCAGTTTCACAGACATTTAGATAGAATATCTGTAAACAGTATTTAGATTCCGTATCTTGTGAAAATGCAAACCTTCTGCCATCGAGGATAAAAGGATTTTTACTTCTGCCTTGACTGAGATTTATTTCAGTATATTTCAGTGATCAGCTAAAAGGTGCTTTCCTTTTAATTACTGAGTACCATGTCTCTTTTTGTGGACCATTTATACTCCAAGTGAAAGAGAATAAATAGGCATGGGAGTGGGAAGAGAATAAAGCCGAGTAATGAAGACAAGTATAGAGAAGACTAAACCAGAGTAGAATAGAGTCAAGTTGATGGTTTAGGAAAATAAAAGAACAAAGAGGGGGAAATAAAGGAAGATGGAAGACAGTGTAGCAGATCAGGGAGAAAATGTGATGATAGCAAAGATGGGGATTAAAAAAGATAAATTTGCATAAAGAATTTTGAGGAGAAGTTGGATATGGCAAAACAAAAGCATGGTAGTTTAACTGACAACAGAATATATATATAACAGACATATGCAGAATGCTTTCATATTTCAAGCCATGTAAATGCCACTTTCAGCTGTATACCTAAAAGCTATGTCTAGAATTTATGGATGTTTTAATTTCACCCTCATTGATCCATTTTTCCAGGCAAGTTTCCAAATAATTAGCTCCAGTTGATGCATTTCACTCTTCCTTTGCATTTTTTCATTAGGGCCTGCGAGCACAGAGGGAGTGAACAAAAAGAGACAAAGCACTTTTCTGAACTTTTTAACACCCTACTTTTAAAAAAGGAGGGGTAGAAAATCTGCAGGTGTCACTTCCTTTCAGTAGCATGTTTGACTGACTCAGTCCAGGTAGAGAAAAATTGTCTCAACAATATTAACACTGCAGTTGAGGTTCTCAGAGCTGAACACTCCCACTAGTCCTCGTGCTTCTCTGTGGCCAACTGTGAGTTATAGTTTAGCACCGATCACACTTTACGTGTTATGTGACCAGTACAAAGAGAAGTCAGTGTTTCGTTCTGCAACTTTGATTTTTTTAATGGGTGATTCTTTTGATCTTATGTGTCAACAGAAAAAAATCTGCTATTTAAAATGAATTTGTGTCTGGCGTAAGTAAACTGCGCTGTAAGTGGAACAAAACATTACCGGCAGTGAAAGGGTCATATTTATGCCATCTTTTCTAGTTCAGGCCTTGAAGGAGAGTGTCACGGGCCCACGATGCAGTATAGGGTGTGTGAAAATCCTTCTTGTCCTGCTGGTGTGCCTGCCTTCAGGGACTGGCAGTGCCAAGCTTTCAGTGTCAGGTCCTCGTATCAGAAGCACGTGCACCAGTGGCAAGCCATCATCGACGACGGTGAGTACGAACCACCTCCCAGGTTCTTATCGTCTGCTTGTACAGCTTGTAGCTTGGTGATGTTGTTGATTAGGAAAGGTATGGTAAAAACTAAAGCAAACAATCAAAACCAAGCCCTGAATTTTTGGTGAATAATTTGAATTTCATAGGCAAGATCTAATGGTATTTTCATCTGCCCTGGAATCCTTTGTCATTTATTCCTGTTTATTTGTTCTTCTTAATAGGTAAGGGCTATGTTTGAAAGAAAATTCAGTGTCTGTTTTGTTGTATTTAATAAAAAATGTAGTATGAAGTGACTCAGAAATACAGATTTCTAGATTAGTGTTACATCATTAAGCAGGCATATATCAGTTGTACTTCTATCTACAAAACCAAATAGACAATGCAGATATTGTGAGCTTCTGTTTCTGAGGAAGGAGAGAGCAATTCTAGCCTAATATTGTGAGTATTTCACATACCAGTGTTTGATTTTGGCAGAAATCCACATGTAATATATACTGCAATCTTAGATAAGATTTCTGTAAATCCTAACAATTAATTTGATAAATTAACAAAATCATTGCAACTCATAATAAAGACAACCCTGGAACGACACAGCAGTACTGTAAGTATGTGTTACCAAATTTTAAGTAGTTCATTACTGTCATTTATTTTTAGATCTTGAAACAAATTATCAGAAACCACTAGAAAGTATAAATTTTAGGAAAACTATTTTGTTGTAAGCATACTTTAACATATGCCTAGATGAACAAAGGGGTTTTTTTCCCTTCTAAGCCTTTTCTCAAGGTGCCAAAGTGAAAACTTGTGACATTATTGTATGTTGGCTCATTTCACAGTAAGAAGAATTCTCTCCAACTGTTACATCAAGTCAATTCATTTTGGTTTGTTTTACTGAATTTCATTTTAGCACAGGAACACATGATTTATATCCTAAGGGATCTAAAGGCCTAAGTATGACTTTGAATAATTTGACTGTATTTGGATGAAAAATCTTGGCACCCTCCTGCCCCATGTTAAGGAGTGTGGATGGTGACTTTCATCTAACTTTGTTCTGAATGATCCCATTGTCTTGAGGTGTCCCTTAGGAGAAACATAAGTGGATTGCAGCCAAAGAGTTCCAGCATTCAAGTATACATTGTTCCAAATCCTTGATTGTTTTCTCTCTTAGCCTTTAGAGGACACAGACTGTGCACCATGTCCAAAATAGTTGCTGTATTTGAATTAGGACTCATATAGTTTGTTGAAGTTGTCAAATGTTGTTGAGTTGCTGTCCCTTTGACTTCAGTGTCTTTAAAATAATGTTTAGGCCATTAATCTTGTATTCCTTTAAAAAATTCTGATACATGTTTAAGGTCCCCGGGGAACTTTGAGGTTACTGTTTAAGGAGTATAACAGGAATGTGGAGGGCACAAATACAGGCAGCTTCTTAGCTGGAGAGGGTTCTGTCTGACTAGCTTCATGTGTTGGCAGAAGGGATCACATCTGTTTGCGCTGGTCCTCTAGTGATACCCAGAGGCTTGTCAATTTCAGTAAATTAGCTGTGCCCAGACCACTCTCTAATGTGTTAGTCAGCTGGCACTGGCTTTGTCTGTCTGTACTTTTCTACTCTTTTGCATGCTAAAATTGCTCTTCTGAAAACAGTCCGTTGCAGATGGCAATTTCCAGTCTAGACTGAGCTAGTGCTAGTTAGCACACGCAAAAAAATGTGGTGTAGACTGTTTTACAGTTCAGCTGTATAGACAGTAGGATTCCAGTGCCCATGAATGTTTCCTGGAACTGTTTAATTTACTAATAAAAACGCACTCCAGGAATCTAGAAGTCAGTATGAAGTCAGAGTGGCATAGATTGTGTCCAAGTGAAATCGGTTTCAGGTTCAGAATTGACTTTATCCTTTCAAAAATCTGCAACAGATTTGGGAAGAAGTTCTGAGTCAGTACATTTGTGAACAAAGGTATGAAAAAATCATGTAATCTTGTGCTCAGTTAACCACTGAGAAGAGACTTCAGTTTATTTTATTTGCTGTCACTTTCACAATGGTGAAACAAATTTCATTGCTTATGAATGATGACTATGGATACCAGGATGTTACTAGGTCTTTTTTTCTCTTTCAAAATTAGAAATTTATTTGCAGAATGTTTTAGAAATTTAGTAGAAAGTTCCTTGAACTTGGTAAAGATGTTAGAAAGAATGTTTCCAGGGTTTTTGTGGTTTCTTGGTTTTTTAATGTGGACTTTGTAAATTCATATATTTTTTTCCCAGAGTAATTCAGTTGCTTCTTTTTTTTTTTCCTCTTTGACCTGCACAGTTAGGAAATCTGGAAAGTGTTAAGTTTCTTTTTAAACCAATATTTATGTTCTGCCAAAAATATAGGAGAATGAAAGTATAGATTAGGACCAAAATATTCCAGCAGCTGTAATATGTACGCTCTTAATTGCAACAATGAACATGACATGAGTACTACGTAGGCCAAGTTTGTAGCAACAACATGCTCTAAGAAGAAAAAAACCTTGAGTTTTTCAAACAGCTGAGAAATGGATCAAAATCTTTTTGTTTTCACTGTATCTCAGATAGCTTCTTATGCTAACGTAGAATTCATGCTGCATAGATAAACAAATATCAGTTTTAACAATAATGTCGATGATAATTTTGTATTTCTGAGGTGACGTTTTACCGATTTTGTGGGGTTTTTTTCCCGTCACTGCTACCTACAGAAAAACCTTGTGCCTTATTCTGTTCACCGGCTGGAAAGGATCAGCCCATTCTTCTAACAGAAAAGGTGATGGATGGGACTTCCTGTGGCCAGCATGGGCTAGAAATCTGTGCAGATGGCAGATGCCAGGTACGAATTACATATTTCAGACCTAGATATACAGGCACAGGTATGCAGGAGCACGCATTTGTTACACCTGCGTGTTATTTCTCCCATAGCGTGTTGCAGTTTGCATGACCAAGAGTGAGCGGCTCTGCTTTTTGCATCATATTAAAATATTTTAAGCTGATTTCACTAAGTGCAACCCAACATGTGAGGCAGCAGAAGGTTTGTTTTGGGGAATGTGTATCCATGATGAGAAGGATGCTTGTAACAAACTGCTGCAGAGCAGATGATTACTGGAACTGATTTTGTTTTCTAAGGGAAGAGCTGTCAACAGGTTGGGAAATTTTGCCATCAACTGTACATCCATATAAAGTATTCTGCCTTTTTCAACAGTACACAATTGTACACTTAAATAAGAATCCCTCAGGCTTGGGGATTTTTTTTGTCTGCTTCTCATTTCAGACACTTGAATTCAAATAGAAAACCCAACCTTTAACACAGAAATGATATTGCTAGATACTGCCATAACTTCAATAAATTAACTTGTATATGCATATATGTACATAAAATTTTCCTTTTTCAAGTGCCTGAGTTTGTGCAGAAAAAAACCCACTTAAATACTTCTCTGATTTGGGGAGTTTTGTTCACCATACACCAATTACATGTTTAACCACAAAGATGATATATAGCCCATTTTTCTTGAGAAAGTGTCCTTTTTTTATCCTTCACTTTTCACAACTGACTGAGAAAGACCAAAATAAAGCCTTAAACTAAACCCACCTCACTAATATTGGGTTGACTTCTTGGCATATCAGAGTTCAGAGAGATAGGTGCTACTCAGATTTGAAAGTTCTTAAGAACTTGTGGGCTCCAGCTGCAGAGTTAGATATTTATATCTTGTAGGTGTGCAATTTTGGATACACAGCTCAATCAGATACTCTCAATCAGTATTTTGAAATCTGTGTTGCCTTTTTAGGTAGAAGAACTCTAATAAAAATCCTGTTTGTAAAGTACCAATCCTAATGTGCTTGGAAATGAATGGCTCCTTAATAGACTACGATTTCTGTTCTTCAAAAAGACTTTGTTTTCTCTCTAACTTAGTTCTCATCCTCATTATTTATCAATGTATTTGTCAAATATGTTTATACAGTGCGCAAGATTACCCTGTGATGACTTTGCTAGACTTAAAAAGGCTTTTATGTCATGTAAGGCTAGCATATGATATTATCTTTATTGCTTTTGTCAAGTTACCACTGACGGTAATTCATAGAAATGTATTTAACATAGTAATATGGAGTTGCTTGAGTAAGCTTGATTGTTTTTAAGCAGAATGATTTCTAGCAAAACACAAATACCATTTATATTTACATCTTCTAGATGTGTTTATGCCCTAATCAACATTTTATCACTCTGTGAGTAAAAAGCGGTAGAGACATGTTGCAGTCGCTTAGCAGGAGGACCTGTGAGGTGGGTGTCGCACAGTGGCCCTGAAGTGGCACAGGTCTCTCCAGGAGTTATGGGAATGCAGTTATGTTTCTCTTGGAGAGCAGCTGGTAGAGTTAGCTGGCCATACAGGAAGAGTGAATGCCACATTCTACGTAAAATCACGGGAAAATTAACTATGGAAGGAGTCTCTCCACATGAGCTAGTGCAGCCCTCCATGTGAGCAGGGCTAGATCATGCTGGTTAGGCGTCTTGCAGAAGGGTGAGATGCCTGACACTGAAGTCAGCTTTAGGAAGAACATGCCCTCTGCCTCAATAGCTTTTTTTTTTTTTCTTCTCCCGCAGAAATTTGGCTGTGATGGCATATTAGGATCTCTGGCTCGTGAGGATCATTGTGGTGTATGCAACGGTAATGGAAAGTCATGCAAAGTTATTAAAGGTGATTTCAACCATACCAGAGGAGCAGGTAAGCCTATTTGTTTATTTGTTTGATTACTTTGAGCACTGGGAAATTTAAAAAGCTGTATTTCTTAAAATTGTGCTGTTCCTCACAAGAACTTCAGATAAAGCTTTTTTTAAGACCATAAGACATTTAAGGTAAGAATGCATGAGTATTTTCAAATTTATTGTGAAATTATTGCCTAATATTTCAATCATGATATTAAGGAAGTATCTTCCTATAAGACACACACTGTTTCATGGAAGAGTCTGATTTTTAAGAAATATGAGAAATAAAATTTATAATTTTATCAAATAAATGAACTGTAAATTCTTGTAGTGTTTAGATTTATTTATTATTCTTCAAAATAAATATCCAAATTATGATCCATTACTTAGAATTAATGATATTAAACGAAGACAGGCAGCGAGATCATAAAGCCAAATGTGAGAAAAAAAATCTAATACCTCTTCATTATTCATTGTTTTATACTAATATATTATAAAAAGCAAATAGATTTTCTGATGCAGAATAAACATGACATTACCAAATAGTGGTGTGATCTGTAGTTTGAATGAGAATAAAGCAAGGATCACAAACCCCAGATGAGTCTGGAGGACTGCAAGATGAAAAAGGAAGCATCAGGAAGCATTCTTAATTTGAAGCAAATAATTAATAAGTAGATTTCAAACCAAAATCCAGTCATAACAGGGTTTGAATATTTTAAAGCACGAAGGAAATGGAGCATAAAATACATAAAACAAAACAAAACTAAAACAGGGAGGATGCTTGGATTTTAGTGCGATATCATTTGTCTTTATGTGCTGACTGAAGCTGTAATTGTTTTATGGTCATCTGGTGGTGATGATGACACTGAGCTACTTAACCACAGATACCTTCCTCTGCTTCAACCCCAGTCTGCCCAGTCTCAGTGGTTCTTGTTATGTTTTACTGTGCTATACTCTTTTAGTTGTGTGTCATTGTATGTGTATTACACATAATGCAGTTTCGTAACTTGTTTCAGTATTATGCAAGAATCCTCAAAATAATGCTACATAAATTATAACCCGTTATATTTAAAAAGCAAAATAGGGGAGAAGAAATGAGTAAACATACAAGATGGACTTTTCTATGCTTTTCTATTTAACTTGGGATGTCTGTTTTCATGTTTAGGTTATGTGGAAGCTTTGGTGATACCTGCAGGAGCAAGGAGAATCAAAGTTGTGGAAGAAAAACCAGCTCATAGTTATTTAGGTAAATGTTGTATGATTTACTGTTAATGTCCTGTTTTGGTCTACACTAAAAAGTGCTAGCTGAACGTGCTTTTGTGACTGAACAAAACTCTGAGTGGAAAAATAGATCTGTGAAGATCAAAAGAAATAAAAGAAGGGTTATAGATTGTTTTTCATATAGGTTTTGTTTTGAACTTTCATCTCATCTTGTTTAGAGAGTATTTTGAAGAATGTATTTAGATTATTTAAGAAAATGTCTGCATAGTTGCACACACTCTCAATTTTTCATATGAAAAGCACCTTAAAACTAGTGAAAAAGAGTTTTATGCTCAAACATGGAATAATTCGTACTCAGACAACAACAAAACACACACTGAAACTCATACAGCTGTTCACCAACAAAGTCAAACAGAAGTTCTAAAATTGGACTAAGAAAGGAGAAAGGTATTTCTTTGCACTATTTTGAATTGTCTGAATGTTTTAATGGACAAAATCAGAATGATTTTTCCTCTCATTTTTTCTATTTATGTGAAATTGTCTTTCATTTACAAAAAAAGTTCTTCTCTTTTAATGAGGTCTAAAGATACTGTATAGGAGAGTATAATTTGTTACTATGTTACAGTGATTAAGTGAATATATGAAATTATTATAACTGGTGGTGTTCTGTGCAAGGCTTAAATTTGAGAGAGATATAATATGAGAAATAGTAAAATGAAATTAAAAATTCCCTGGTTTGGTCACTATTCTTAATTATGTTCATAAGTAGTATCTCCATTTTAAGAAACTTTTTACCTGACTGTTTCCAGTACTTCAACTGAGAGAACTTTGAGGATGGTGAACCTTAATTATGAGAGCTTAGGTTGTCAGTGGGTTACTGCTGGTTTATCATGAGGTCTGCACTTGCCCTGTTAAGATATCATGGGAGGTTTAGAAATCTGGATTATTTAATTGTTCTCCAATGGACCAAAGACATGGATATGTAATGGTGTAAAAACAGTAATTGAAATTTGTCTACCTTGTTAACTGATCACAGAATCACAGATTATTCTGAGCTGGAAGGGACCCACAAGGATCATCAAGTACATCTCCTAAGTGAGTGGCCCATACAGGGATTGAACCAACAACCTTGGTAGTAGAACCAACATTAGTAACACCGTGCTTTAACCAACTGAAATAATCTCAGGGTCATGTAGGCAACAGAAAAACTTTTTTTTTTTTTAATAAAGTAAAAATAAAAAAATATTGGAATTATATTTAGCAAAATTTATTCCTTTTTCATAAGTAGCAAACTGTTTTATCCCTTACCCTACAAAAGACTCAAAGAAATCCCCTGGTCCTGAGGGAACTGGTTGATGTAGCTGTCAAGACACTCTCAAGCATATTTAAAAAGTTGTGGCAGTCAGGTCAAGTCCCCAGGGACTGGAAAATAGTGAATATTGCACTATTTTTGAAAAAAGATAAGAGGACCCTGGGAATTTCCTACCAGTCAGCATTACCTCAGCTGAAATTTTCAAAAAGTTACTCAAATCTCAAGTCTTAATGTTCTTAAGATAGCTTGAAGGGACACCTGATAAGCTGAATAGAAGTGAAACAATTACTTCCTTGGCAAAAGATGTCACTGACTGTGCTCTCATTTAGAATTGCATTTCAGATATTTTTTTTATAATTTCTTTAGGGTAGAGCTACACTTGCAATTAGCTCCCTTGGTTTAACACTGACATTGTGGTCGTGGTTACAGTTGCAGTAGGGCTTCCCAGTCCCAAATTTTCTTTGGCTGCCTTTTTGGTTGTAGGTGTATTGCTTGAATTGCCTGAGAGGATTACTTTGTACAGGACGACGTCCTCTGTCAAAAGCTAAGAAGGATAAGGAATATGTGTGGTGTGGAATAAAACTCAATGAACTTGCTTAGCGTATGGGGTGTGGCAGAGTCAAGAATAGAAGCTGGACTGCCCAAGTCCAGATTTAATGCTTGAGGATACCCCTTCTACTTTGCCTAACACCAGTGACCCAAGTGAGGGATCTGAGAGCAGAAAATGCAAGATCTGGGTGTGTCTGTATTCTGGAACTGGGATTCCAGTTTCCTGCACACGTCTGCATGCTATGACACATGCATTCATTTCAAAGACAAGGCAAAATGATGTCTGCTGCTCTCTGGGGAGAGGATGCTGCTCCATCTGAGCAGCATGACCCGGCTGGACCTTGGCACTTTCAAGGAGACTTTTTTAAATTTCTCCACTGGGAAGAGGATTATCCCCTCCAGTTCGAAGACTAAATAGAACTTAATTACCATTAATAATAGCACGTTTAAGGCTAAATTACCCGTTTTTAAATCTTGTAAAATCAGTGGTTATTTTTAGTACAGCACTTTTCTACAGCATTAGTGGCTTTTATAGTCTTAACATTTATTACACACTGCTGCAGTGGTACACATCAGTAGTGTCTTACTCAGTTGGATTTCTGCCAGTCCATAGGACTGTTGCCATTGTTTCCCATAGAAACAAAACGTAACAGTATAAATATGAATACGGGAGGAGATGATTACAGAAGTGACTCACATTAACTTACAACTTTAAAAAGGGAAATTTTGGAACATGTAAAGATTCTCTTACAACAAACTGATGCCAAACATACAATTTCAGTGAAGACAAATGTGTAAAACTTTTCATCCAGAAGGTGACTTCGAGTGTATTCTACTTCACACCTGATTGCAACAAAACAAAATGAAGTAAAACAAAATAAAATTACAAATAATTCATGGAAGAATCTGTTCTGTTTACCATAGGAAACTAAAGTAAAATCCTCTGTTCTCAGTGTTTGAAATGTATCTTACCTAACTTGATGCTGTTTTTAAATATAAAATAGGTCAACATGAAGAATGATTCAGCCAAAAAGGACAAGCTTTTTGTATTTGTTAGAAACATCCAATTATGTGGAGGTGTGTAAAGTACTACCACATTCTAAGATGGAGAAAAAAGCAAATGGAGTTATTAGAAGGGAAAAAATTCTGAACTAGATTTTTTTGGAAGGTTTTAGCCCTGTTCCACAAATCTTGAAGAGTCTCTTGTGAAAATTGTGTTTCCCATGCCTTTATGGATTATAGAAATGACCACCCTGGGGGCCTTTTGCCTTGAGTTAACTCAGTGTTCAAATTAGGAATTACCCTGGAGCCTCTCGGTCTCTTCAGGCATTAAAGCACTGATATTAACTTCAACTAATTTTAAACACACACGTTTTTGCCAAGAAGTCCCTCTAGAAAGTGTTTCTGAGGTATGTTCCAACTGAAGTTCACATACAGTAGGATCCACAACTCTCTTTGAAATTAGAGTTAGGTGTTTTCAACCTACTTGTTAAATTATCTGGACAGGAAGTGAAAAGAGAACCAAAAATCACTACTGAACAGACACCTTTTGTATTGGGCTTTTTTCGTATATTTTGCAGCTCTTCGGGATGCTGGAAAACAGTCAATCAATAGTGACTGGAAGATAGAGCATTCTGGAACATTCAATATTGCTGGGACCACTGTCCATTATGTTCGGAGAGGCCTCTGGGAGAAAATATCAGCCAAAGGTCCCACAACATCACCTTTACATTTACTGGTATGGCAATTTGTTTTGTTTTGTTTTTCTTGATTCCTATCATATAGCGTGGTAACTAATACTTCTTTTTCAGACTCCCGAAGATAATGAGATCTATGTAAGATGTACCTGCTTTTGTGATTACATATGCATATACAAAAGCAGGTATATACATAAATATATATATATATATAAATATATATATGTGTCAGCGTGCTTGTAAAAAAAGTGCATTTAAATCCAAGAACAATCTTCACATTGTTGAGGCAGGATTGAAGGTCTCAGCGTTCCTACAGATGTCATAAAAAGCTGATGTGCCAGTCAGGGAGGGCGATTCAAATTAATATCAGATGGTTTAAGTCCTGGCTGACTATGGTACAGCATCACCATTTCAGAATTTCAGTCACCAAGTTCTTCTTGATGAAGAAGCAGAGTCTTGATGCATTTCAGTGTAGCAGAGGAAAAGTTAATAGCCACCGGAAAGAGGGAGAGATGATGAGAGAGTACTTCATCATTCAAACCATCATTCAAGACATTTTCTTGGTAAAGCAAAACATTTTTTCACCATTGTCTCGATTTGTATGCTCTCATTAATTTCTTTTACCACATCCATTAGGAGGGTTGAAAGGCAGCAGAGCATTAAGTCATCCTGTTGAGCTTTTCAGGATTATCCCCTTGCAGTTTGGAGTTTGTCTGCCACAGTGTCTGTGTTCGTGGTAAGGTTTCCCTTCTCTTTGTCTTGCAGGTGCTGCTCTTCCACGACCAGAGCTATGGTCTACACTATGAGTACACAATCCCACTGGATCCCCTTCCTGAAAATCAGAGCTCCAAAGTACCGGAGCCTCTTTTCATGTGGACTCATTCTACCTGGGAGGACTGTGATGCTGTATGTGGAGGAGGTAAAATAAAAGAAAAATGTGCTAACACACAAACACACCCACATATATGAAAAATTAGTATGTATATACAGTATGCATGTGTATACACAGTACAAAGGTGTGTATAAAATACGCATCTATATGTATATACTGTGTGTATATATTGTTAATACTCTGATGGTCAGTGTTATATATTTAATAGTAATATCCGTAATAGTAATTATGGATATTAATTTAATAGCAATATTAACATATATAATTTTAATTTAATATTTAATGTTATAATAAATTGATAATAAACATTCAGTCAATATTTGATATACTACTGATGTGTATTAGTAGCGTATATATACACTATTATATAGAGTAAATATATTTAATAGTAACATTGCAGCTTGTATGACACCATACAATGCGGACATACGTCAGTCTCACTCTTTCTGTTTGTATTAAAAATCTGCGATAACTGTAGGAAGAGCTTCGAACTAAATAAAGTAAGCAGCAAAAGATGATAACGAGGGAACAAAATCTAGACCAGAAAGCAAATTCAGGACACGGTTTCCAAGAAGAAATACAAATGCTAGAGCTAGAACAAGAATAGAAAGTTCATATGCATTCCACTCTGTATTTGGAACTATTGAAGATAAATGATCTGTAAGAGACATTTCAAACCACAGAAAAGCTGAATCCCAGGTTCAGATCAAGTATGTACAGTTAGTAACATGAGTTGAGGATGATCCAGAAACATATGGAACAAATATTTCAACAGCAGATATTAGTATGCTGATGTGATATTTTTCCTATGTTTATTAACCATAAAAAATGTGATTTTGGAGGAACAAAGTATGATTGTGAAAACAAATATTGGAACATGAACAATGTTGATGTAACAAAAGTCTTTAAAACTTCTGTCTAGAAGATGTTATTCAAATAGATAATTACACTGAAACATTTCATGCATGAATGAATGCAACTTACAGTGATCTGTTCATACCTTGTGCAAACTAGCCAGACTGTGATCACTCTATTGATTTTTGATACCTGTCTTTCCTGCTTACAACCTTGACAGTCGTGCTTGCTCTGATCAGCAGTTCTGAGAACTGCTGTGCACCTTGTGATTGAATAGCAAGGCCTGGAAACACTTTACTTTCTCGTAACAGCAGCATAAGGAACACGCTGTTCTAGCTCCTCTGACTCTGTGAACAATCCTGGTGTCATGAAAGATTGCTGTAGTTTCCATAAACATGCTTTTTGTGGTTTGGTAAGAAAGCTTCTTCCCTAGAAGGTATTTTGTACATGGTGCTAGTAGTATCCTCTGATTCGTAATGGTGCATTCTTATTTACTTGTGAATTCATTCTTTTTACAGTTTCCTGAAGTATTTTTAGAATAATTTTAATACTACCACAGTTAGTGCCTCAAATATTTCTAAACTTACCTCTCTTCTGCAGAAGTCTTAAAATGCAGTACGCTGGTAATTTATTCTACATTAATGCTTAAACAAATATTTAAATGTTTTAATGTGATGTTTATCATATTTTTCTGTTGTAACTGGCCTTCATGTTATGTTATTGTGAAAAATAGCTGAGTTAATACAAAGTTCCATAAAAGGTATTTTTACTGCAAATATTCCGAAATACAAGCGAAAGATTTTTCTTACTTTAGACAAAACTGTTTTAACTGTTCTTTCAGTTCTTGGCTTAAATATCAAGCAATAATGAAATTAAAATGATGCAGCTTGTGCCCTGTCTAAATATTTGCGATTCAAATTTAATATCAATGTTTTGATTAACCTGAATAAATAATTAAAAATTATCAGTAGTTTTTCTCAAATGCTCGAAGTGTTTGTCAGGATAAAACTATTGATGAAGCGCTGCGGTTTCGTGTATGTTTGTGTATGTAACTGGCCTGTGACCTCATGTGTTGCAGAAAAGCTTCTTGGTGTGGGAGAGAGTATGAATACACAGATGTGTATATAACACAGAAAGAACTGTCAAACATTTCAAAGGCTGTGATATGATAGATTAGTTGAATGTGCTCTCACATACACAAGCGCCGTCTAAAATGTCCGCTGTGGTCACGCACATAATGTGCATTTATAACTTAAGTGCTCCATCCACAGACTCGTTTTTTGACTTCTGGTGGACGAGCACGCTTAAGCCTGCCCAGCTCACGCACGCACCCACTTTGTCAGTAAACTTCCAGATAGGGTGTTAAAAATTAACTGCAGGAGCAAATGCGTTATCAGCCTAAATTGTACTTACTGAAATCTTTAGTTCAAGGATTGCTAGTTTTTGAAAAGTCAGTTTCCAGTCTAAATTACAAGTTACTGCTAGTGGTAGGTATTACATTAAATTCTAATTTCTAATGCTTCCATGTTCAAGGGACACCAGGATCCAGTCATCCATCAGGGCAAGGGTTCTGTACACGGCATGCCCTGGGTCTCTGCAGGCAGTAGCCAGCTTCCTAAATGATTACCCTACAGATCGGGTCATTTGTCCTCTTTTGTTCATGAGAAATAGTGCAAGCTACTAAAAGTTGCATGTACTGATTCCCTTTATCTGAGTGCTGGCCACAACTTGTCATTCCTTTCCTCATTTTATGCAGTAATTAACAAGCATTCTTTTCCTTGTAATTTTTCTGCAAGCTTTGGTCAGTGGTGAGGTTTCAGTTGTTGAGAAAGAAAATTATTCCAGGAAGACTAAGGGTTTGGCCTATGGCTAGTTACAGGAATAAAGCAGCAAAACTCTGTTGACAGCGGTTCACAAAGACTGAATTAGGAAATCAGTGTTCCATACAAACTGCAAAATCTCTCTTAGAGTCCCTGCTACCTCTGAACTCCTAATACCCATTTTGCAGTTCTTTTAGCCAAACTGTACGTGAAATAGCTGTATCTGTGTCCTTCCTTTAACCAAGTTACATCTTCTTGGTTTCCTCTTCCATTTTTGACTAGGTGAAAGGAAGACGACAGTCTCTTGCACAAAGATTATGAACAAGAATATCAGTCTTGTGGACAACAAGAAGTGCAAATATTTGACAAAGCCTGAACCACAGATCCGCAAGTGCAATGAACAGCCCTGCCAGACCAGGTAATAGTGATTTGGTTAAATTGAATTGTAATATTTCGATGTAGAAATCATAGAGTTGGCTGCCTCTGGCCATGAATATGCTGTAAATATGTGCATCCAAAATGCTGTAATGCAAAATGTAGGGAAAACAGAAACACTGGCTATATTTCTCCCCTGAGCTTTAATGAAAGAGTGCCCTTACCTAAATCAATTCTTATTCAATAAAGCAGTTCATTTCCTCAGGAAGTGTTCTCAAAAGCTGATCTGTGCTGCAAAATTGAAATTTAAATACTCCTTATATGAAGATATATATGGGATTTAATCCCATGTTTTTAATTAATGATATATTTTAGTGTGGGTTTTTTTTTTTTTCAATCAAGGCTTCTCTTCTTTAAAGCTCTCAATAAGCTCTGGGTACACTAAGTAGTAATTAAATAAACTTATAATCACGTTTTCTACATTTATATGCGACTTGAAGTACAGAAAGCCTTCCCCTCACTCCTTTCTCCCCTCTCAGCCCATCCCTTTGTACGTGGATCGATGGGCTGGACTAGACTCTGATGGCTGAATGCTGGAAGAAGCAGGAGGCAGCTGCAGTGTGCACCCACCAGCCTGCTCCTCCCACAGGCTGGCCAGGCCAGCTCAGCCACCCATTTCAGAGTCTGCCACCCATATAGTTTCCATATAGTAGCTAAGAATTATGACTAAGGAGATCCTCAGGTATTTGTGTGGACTGGTTTAAAGTGTGTACCTCCCTTTCAAGGGAGGGGGGAGCATCTAATGGTAGCTGGCTATCACCCCCAGGAGCAAGCACTGGGATCAGTCTCCTGCAGTCATCTGGAGGACAGGTAGATGGTATTCTTAAACAAAACAGTGCAAAGTGAACGAAATGCAAACATTGTTGAGGAAAGCATGTAAAGTGAACTGGAAGACATAGCTTTCTTGGAAAGGGTAAAGTACTGAAATTGATAAAATGCAATGTACGATACATTTTTAGGTAGGACAAAAGGTCTTACATTTGGATTTCCCCAGACTAGGGCATTACAGTTTGGAGGGATTATTTATGTTTCATTATATTTGAGCACATTTTATTTTATTAACATCACTGTGCACCTATTGTATAGAAATTGAATAGTCTGATCTTTTTCTGAGGCACTGTCAGCTATCAATTTTCAACATTGTGTGCTTTTCCAGCTTACTAAATGAAACTTCTTAAATGTTGCTAATTGATACTCAGAGATGCTGTGCTGAGAAATGTAGAAACATACAATGATTCTTGATGATCCAGTTTTTAATACAGTGTAAGTGATCATTACAAAATAAAAATTGTTAGCTTTCAATAGAAGTGTAACTGAAGCGTATGCTTGCATAACTCTTATTTGTTACTGGCACTTGGAGAAGTATCTTAAACTGTATTGCGTTATCTTGACAGGCTGTGGTTTGTAAATTATGTATCTGGACTGATAGCAAAAAAACCCCTTAGTTAAGTGTTTTATCTTTTTGCTACAAATGCATGACAGAAGGTTGAAACAGATTTGTTAAATGTCAGTTTCCAAAAAACTCTCCTTGCAAGCTAAGTCTCCTGGAATACGCTTGTGTACTGCATCAGGGCAGAGCTGTTTGATTTTTAAGGGCACATGGCCATAGTCTGGATCTACAGAACATCTGGGGAAAATTATGTTCTAGAATGATTGCTCTCCAAGTATGTGGGCTCTGCCAAACTGCATGAGCCTTCCTTGCTGCTGTGATTTAAACCATGCACCCTGAGTTAGGCCTGACCCTGAAGAACGTGAAGAATTCTGAGCTTTTATACTTTCTCCAGAGCAATGAGCCTTTCACACTGAAGTGATTCTTTCTTGCAGTGGAGAATTTTCAAGGAATGTTGGACTTTACATGCATGGCATGCACTTGACATAGGCAGTCATACAGAGAGTAACAGCAGGCAGATCACTGATTTGTCATCTCTAAAATGTACGTGTGTTTTGGAACTTTTTTTAATTGGAATTAATTAAAGGAAGGTGCTTTGAAAACATAGGGACAGTGGGCTGGGGAATGAAAAAATATGAACATTAACATCATACTTCATGTAAAGTATGTTTGATTATGTCCATTAGCAAAGGAAAATTTAAAGGCAGCTGAACATTTGCACGTATGTCTTGGGTGTGTGCACTGGTAAGCAAGACAGTAAGATAATATGGTGATATTTTCCCCTTCCTGTTTTCTTGATACTACATTGTCTGTATTTCCTTGCAGATGGATGATGACAGAATGGACACCGTGTTCAAGGACATGTGGAAAAGGGACCCAGAACAGACAAGTAGCCTGCACACAGCAGCTCAGAAATGGGACCCTGATCAGAGCTAGAGAGAGGGATTGTCTTGGGCCAAAGCCTGCTTCTGCACAGCGCTGTGAAGGCCAGGACTGCATGACTGTGTGGGAGGCGGGAGTCTGGTCCGAGGTGCTGCATTTATTTATACAAATAGTCCATAGTGGTTATTTGTGCCTTCATATTTTCTGGGAATAAGATTTTTTTCAGCATCAGGTGGCACAGCTCAGCCTAATGGTTTTCACGGTCCCCATGCAATGATTTGGCAAAGGGTTCAGGGACTAGGAAAACCAGCTGTGTAGAACTACTACATTTTACCTAGTCAATGTTCTGGAACAGTTTCTTTTGGCCAGTTTTCAAGCACGTATAATCTAATATGTCCTGACTCTGGAGGTGGGTATCTGGGGGCAAGTAGAATTAAGGCATCACTTAACAGCTACAAGACATTGGATTCAGAGTAGGAACATCTCTGATGTCCTTTTGTACCACGGAATGTTGATGCCATCCTGCCTCATGGAGGCTTAGACAGAAGCTGCTGGTAAAGAAAGATGTTTCCTTCCCTTCCTCCCTCTTCTCACCTCTTCTTCCAAGACAACAGCAGTGGGCTAAAGAGCTTGTAAATAACACAATTTCACAAATATTGCATCCTGAAGGATTGGTGTAGAATGCATTTATTATTCAAAAATCGTTATTAATTTAAGATTCTTAATGTAGTTGTCCATTTGGCTTTCTTCATCTTCATTTTCTTCTTCAACTTTGTTTTCTTCTTCTAAAATTCTATGCTACTTCTAAAAGTAACTGACCATTGGAGGAAGAAGGGTGTGTTATCACTGTCATCTGGACAGTGATAAAAGGGTCATTTGGAACTTCTCCCTTCCTTGGAAGATCAAAGGCCATTCTGATTGCCTCCCATATTAGAAGCTGTGCTATGAGTCCGTCCCTGGTCAAAATAACAAGTAGCAGTTTCTGAATGTGGGTGCAGTCCCTTCTTTGGGCTGCTCTACTCAGCAGCACCACTTGATCCCCCAAGCAAGAAAGAGCTAGGAAATAGGGAATGTTTTAAAAGATGAAAAGCAGACAGTAAGGTAGAGAGAAGTAAAGAGCAGCAGCTGCTGGTTTGGTACACAAAGGTTTATAATGGAAGGGCTGGTGGTGAGGAGAGCGGCATTCAGTTCCAGAGGTGAGGAAGAGAAGCGCACGGATTGTTTAGTCTGTTTGTTTTACTTCAGAGATGAGAAATGGGTGAGCATGTTTTTGTTGAAAGCAAAAGATATATTTAGAAGAGTGAGGTATTTGCCGTGGCCCATTCCTACTATCACCATTGTATAGGAAGCTAGCCATTACTGCTTCCTGCAGTTATAATCAGCTTGGCAAAGGAGAGTTTTGAACTGCAAGCAGTGGGATGATCAAAAGCAGTGGTAATGTTTGAAGAAGGAAATGGCATAATTTTTGGCTGTGCAAGTGGGAATGGTGGAAAAAAACATAGATTAGGACTTCTTGTGCAACTTGAGGAGAGTTTTCACATGCTGTCTATACAGTGACTTCGTATTTTGAAGTTCAGTCTGGATTCTTGCACAGTTTCAGAATATTTACTTTTCCATTTTAACTTTTTTTCCCTCCCCCCCAAAAAAGTCTGTTAGGTACTAGCAGAGCTTTTCTGAAGTTACTTCATATCTTATTCTTATGAACACTTTTTTGATTTTCTTTCATTGTATTTCCTTTTTTTATAGAAGATTGCCTAATATTTTCAGTGTAACATTTTGCATTCACTTAATGATAACTTTTTAGGTATTTTCTTATTCAAAAGCCTGGGGTTTTTTTCATTAAGCAAATTATTTTTTTATCTAATTATATAATTTTAGCTAAAAATGAAACAATTACCATAATGCCTCATAAGGAATCATTGCTAGGTTTTTAGTTTTTAACAAATCTGGTGTTGATGCAATTGAGGGTTGGAAGTCAGGAAATCACTGAAGCCATGAAATACTTAAGTATTGGCCTGGCAGAGGTCATTAGAAGGGGATAAAAAGGTCCTGAAAACCATCTTTTTCCAACAGTGCTCTGTAAAATGTGGTAGGGGAGTCCGGCATCGAACTGTGAGATGCACCAACCCACGCAAGAAATGTGTTTTGTCCACAAGACCTAAAGAAGCAGAGGACTGTGAGGACTATTCTAAATGCTACGTCTGGAGAATGGGAGACTGGTCTAAGGTGAGTAATCCTTGATAGCAGTGCCCCATGGCATAGTATGCTTTGCAAGTTGAGTTCTTTGTTAAGAATTGCTTTTATCAGGAGTGTACAAGTCTCCCACCTGAGGGAACAATAAGGCTGAAAACTAACAAACCTAACCCTAAACTGGCAGTCACAGTGAGACCACAGTATAAACAAAAGTCAGATATATGAAGAAAGTGAAGTGAGATGAATATTCCATATAATAATGCAAAGCTGGTATAAATTTGTTGTTGTCAGTAGGCAGGCAAACAACTCCAGAAACCACAGCTTACTCTAACCTTACAGGTTGCATATTTCATTACTTTGTGTTTGCATATTTTATTTATGTTTCCAATAAGCTACACCCTCCAACCTTATAAGGAAGCACCTTTAGCCTATTAAATTTCCACGGAGACCATTTAACGTCTAGGAAGCATCTATTACTGTCTATTCTGGAGACTTGACATAACTGTCAGTACATTATTCCCTTGGCATGGGTTTTGATTTTAGTGAGATCCATAAGCATAGGCCAGACTGTAACAAATGGTATTGGTTGGGTCTGTGATCGAGTGTATTATTGGACGTGTACCTTGAACATCTGATACAGGTTTGAATATCCAAAACATGCTGAAATTCTGAAATTTAACCTTGTCAAGATTTTCCCTTGCTCCAACACAGACCACACTTAAGCAGAAAGATTGTAATATCTTTTCTTTTTTTCCTTTGCTTCTTTTCATAACTTTACACACAACAGTTTTACTTTTAACACCTAACATTATTGCAGAGTTTTTGTAACTTGCTTGTATGGAGAAGTATTTAATGTATTTTTAGTTGTCTTTCATGTACTGTAGGAGCTGGAAACAAGGACTAAAGCCAGCAGTGTATGAATAGCCAGCCTTCCAAGAATTAGCTGAAAGTACTCTGTGAGTAACCACTTACTTTAAAAGCACATAGAATAACCATTAATTTTTTAAGCAAAAGAAGCAACTAACTTACAGTAGCAGTGTTACTTTTACACGAGGATACCTTTGGCAATAAAGTTTAGTATTTGCATTTCTATACCACATAACTGCAGTTAAAACCTGCATCACTTAGCATTAGCACCAGTAGGAAGTAAACCAGGGAGAAATGACCATCTGCTTTCTTAATTGAAGCAGTCATTCAAATTGGGGTTGCTGAGACAATATGGGGATGCTCAGACAGTTACACTGTGTTCCCAGTGCCCTCTGGAGAAAAGAAGAACTTTGTTCTCTAATTCAGTACTTTTCACAAACATCCATGTCATAGATGAATGTACGAGAACTTACACCTTCCTGTTCAATATTTACTGACTGTCTTGTACTTTGTGTTTTCCTCCTGTAGTCAAAGCTGCAACACTGTCACCTAAGTTGTACTTTGAACTCCAAAATTAGGACATGAGGAAATACTTCATATGGAATTAACAAAATCTGTTGAATAGTTAACATACAGTCTGACTGTGACTTGTGCAGCAGAGATTTTCCAAGACTTATACCAAAAAAGAGACACTTTAATTTCTCAACAGAGTCACAAGTTCAATTTAAAATATACTTGGATTTCCTTTTTTTTTCCTGTTACTCTTCTGTTCCATTGCAAGAGTACATAGCAACATGAAGTCATGGCATACATGTTAATATGTCTGCAATGGGGGAAACAAATGGAAAGCTCAGATAAATGTTAATCTTCGCTCACTGTTTGTTTCTAACCCAGAGGTTCAGTGCAGCCTTCTGTGTTCACTGCTTTTACTCTTTAGGATTGTTCTTGACACTGACAGAAGGCTGTTCCTTTGAGCAGAGCCAAGTTCCCCCAAGCTAATGCCAAGACTTGGCTTGAAAAATTTAAATGACCCTTCTCACACATTGAAACAAGATGCTTACTGTGATCCCTATTGGCTTTGCTGCTTCCCTTGAACTCCTAAAGCACAATTTTAAATGAAGTTTAAATTGCTCTATTACTGAAAAGATAACATGATTAATAATCATATTAGTGCCATAACAGGGTTAACTTCTTTTAAAGGTATAGTCACATAGAGATCAAATAGTTCTTGCCCTCTGTTTTGTAAAAATAATACCACGATCTAAGAAATTTTGATCAAAATTCCAAGCTCCAATAGGTCAATAAACACAGTAATCCTTCTAAAACTCAAACTTAATGTAAAAGAAGTCTGTGTAACCTGGCTTGTATGCAGCATTAAACTCTGTAATGGCTTTTAAGTCAGAAGGGTGGGTCAATATGCTAAACGTCACTATTCTTAACATCAGTTGGGCTCTGTGCCCACCCTCGTATGGAATAGGGGTATGACGGGAAAGTAAAGAATTAAAGTTCAGACTGAGCTTCTGGAGCCAGCACCTCGTAATATTACCAGTTCCATTGTATTTTCCCAGTGAACACTGTCCTTGGAATACCCCACTTGACAATGTGAGAGTTACCTTCAAATGGGGAATGCTCATAGATCCCAGCTCTTCCTGCACCAGTTTAGGGTGAGGTGTTACTAGCAGCAGTGTCCTTTACTCAGCTGCCCTCTGAGTGCCCATTGCAAAGGGCATATGAGGCTCAGAGGAATTTATCACCTGAGTATAAACAAGTAGGGAAGAGGCGAAATAAAATGCACATGAATTGCACGTTCATACACCTACCTGGCTTACTAGAGACTTAGTGTCAACAACATAAGGTACTCACAGGTCATCTCTAGGGTATTTTATGTAGGAAGCTGTGTATATTTTTTTCTTCTATTATCTAGACTCTTCAGAACATTGTTGGAATAAATGCAGCACGAGAGGCAGGATGAATTTTGGAGCAGGGAATAATTTGGAGAGTGGGTTTTAAAAATAATAATTAAAACCTTGAATTTTATATAGTATTATATCAGAAACTTCTGGAGATACTCATCAAAGGATAACAGGATCAAAAGGCTGGAAAATGAAGTAGATTTTAGGAGCAGCCATTTGTAGAGATGAAAAAAAATAGGAAGTATGTGTGCATAGGAGACCAGAGAAGATAATGTGGCATAAGTTGTGAAAAGACTGGAAAGAGGACCTATTCTGTAGAAACTACAGAAGGAGCAGTGGCAGAATTTCTAAATAGTATCTATATGTTAGAACAGAGGTATAGACAAGTCAAACAGGACATCTGGAATAGTGATCCCAAGAGCTGAGATGGAGTTCCCTTTGTCTATAGCCTGAACAGGCAAAAATGCGAAGTGAAGGTTCATCTGTTACATTTTTTCAGCTGAGTCTGAAGCAACTGCTTGGTTTTTACACCATTGAGTCCCAGAATTAGTAGGCTATTCTGAATTATTTATTTCAGAAAATGCATGCTGTGCTCCCTGGAAAGTGTGTGTGTGTGTGTGTATACAGAGAAGTCAAGTCTCCAGCTGTTGGGGGGAGATAGAGTCACAGAGCGATTTGCTAATGGAGTGGTACAGAAAGCAGATGTCAGTGATGAAGAGTATCTTCTGTCCCAGTCAAAGAACATGTGGAAATGGAGGGAAAAAAAAAAAAAAACAAAACACAAAAAAACCTCCTTTTTTGCCAACTCTTCAAAAGCATGGGACATTCAACCTTTAAACTGTGTGCTTAAACATTTGGACAGTCTCTAAATTTCCACAGCAAACAAACTCAGATTGACTCCTTCAATTAAAAAAAATAGAATTTAGATAATATTAGTGTTACAATTTTACTGACAAGGTAATTAGCCTTGGTTTTATTCCTTGGATCCCCATCCAAAATTGTTAAGCTCTTTTAGAGTCTGGGAAGGGAATAGGCCTGGCCATGCATCAAAATATGACACTGTCAATAGATTTATGGACAAATAAATTACATTACTTTTGTGAAATAATAGAAGCCAAAATAATACTGGCATTAGGTTGATGACTTTTGTATTGACTTAATTATAGTTATTTTCTGGCAAATTAGGTATGTCTTTGTTTCAGAAATTAAACATGGGCAAATAATAGATACCAATATAAAGAAATGAGAGTTGTAGAGTTTCATATGTTTCTAACTGGTCCTGTAATATTAACAATATTAACATCTTTTGTTTCAGATAAAGTAGGTTTTTTAGTTCAGTATACTGTAGTATTTTGTCTGGAATAAATGTAATGTCAAGTTTTAGAAAAATAGAACAAGACCATTCTTAATAATCAGGCAAATCCACAGATAAAACTGGAAAAAATTTTAGAAGTAGACATTACCCATTTTGCACACACAAAAAATCACACATAAATGAGAAAGTCAGTATCTGTATTAGAGTTTGATCTACTTTCAAGGACATCTTTGTTGATTTTCTGCTACAAACATCTTTAGGGTATCTTTAGCTTTTGGGATCACCAAACTGGAATCAAAAGTTAATTATGAATGGGCATTGTGTTGTCCCTTGAGTTGCATTAGCTGTAAGTGGGCTGTGTTAGGTAATAATTAATTTGTGGCACATCTTAATAACTAGTATCAGAATTGAACCATCCTAGGCTCCGTAGAAAAACAAAGCAAGAACAAACGAGTAAAAGAAGCTAATAGCTCCTGCTGAAAGATGCTTCCAGTCTTATCTGACAAGTGAAACAGTATGGGGAGAACTATCTAATCAAATAGATAATGAAAGGCAAAGAAAGAAAAAAATATTTTTATTCCAAACCTGATAACAGCTCCCCTGTTTTTCCCTATGTGCCCTAAGAGTAGGTCTCAAGAAAAAGGTACCACCTTTATATATTAGTTTTTAAAGTTTCCATCAAGAAGTGAACAAGTAGATGCCCACAAAGACCTTCTCATGCAGTACAAGAGATGGTATATTGCAAAAAAAATTGGTAACAGGTGCAAAAAACCAACCCTCATAGGCAGAAGAAGATTCCTGGAAGGTGGCAGTGGGTAACAGTGGCAAATACAGCCCCATGCTTACAACCACAACACGATGTACAGCATGCTGTGTGGTGCCATTTGAAGGGGTGGTGTGGGGAAAGAGGAGATTCACTCGCACAGCCACGGTTGTTA